TATTTGTGTTTTCTATTTTTTGGTAATGTCAATTTTTTTAAAGGTACTTTTGGAGGGCCCCAGGTAGCTCGACCGAGAAGGTCGGAGTTCAATCCCTTTTGCCGTCAGACTGATGCCCTTTTCGGTATACCTCTCTAGGCATTGCAGCTGAGTACGGGATTTATCTACATTGGGGGATCAATAGTTATCTATTTCCTCCATAGAGACTTCGGAGCGACCCGACTCCATCCAGTCGTACCGAACCGAAGGTAGGACTGGACTCTCCGAACCTACATGTCTCAGTGTCGAACACATCACCGTACCTGAGAAGGTACAACTGGATCCCTACAAAACATCTTGGGACTATAGGCCACTTGCAAAGGCAGCAGGGTTCATGCTGTCGAATTAGAGGTTGACATAGGTTGACGATATCATTTAGCGCACACACTCTCATGATGTGTGTTTTTCCTTTCCTCATGAGTGTTTAGGACCAACCATTCCTGCAATTGCGGAGTGGCATTTAATTACTGTTCTAAAATGTTCTAATTGTTATCAACATTACCATTGTTGTAAAAAAGGAGGTGATCTTTTGCATTCGTTGCTTCTGGCTTATCAATTTGCACCGTACCCAAGGTGAAAGTCAAAAAGTCAAAGAAGAGAAAAAGCTCCTGGACTGCAGAGAATCATCCGTTTGCAGCAAACTTGCATTGACAACACGTTTTGTTTTAAATATATGTGCAAGTCTGAGATTTCTTTCTAGTGCCAATGGCTTCAGAAGTGCAAAGCAAACATACCAGTCCACTCGAACAAATATGATTTATTCACATCGAAACCTGGAAGCTGTGGCATGCTGTAGTGACAACCTATCCAAGTAAGTCAAAAATGGATTGGACATGTAGTATGTTAATATTGTTACATATTGTTTTTGGTGACCACTGTGTTTCGCTACGTTGATATTGTTTTTCAATTTCTGCTTGCAGATATATAGTTACCTCACCTCTATCACCCCAGACTAAGAGTCCACGCAAGACTGTTTCAACGGCTTGGGTTGTCCTCCAACCTTGTTGATTCACTCCAAATCCCCGGCTCCAGCCATATCTTTTAATTCTTCCATGTCCACATTCACAAAGCTGCTTGTCGAGTGACCGACGGAACCCATGGGGACAACAGGCTACCGCCAAATGGCGAGCCTGGAGTGGTGAATGTATTGCTTTGGCACATGGGCCAGCATTGCGTTTGTGCGCCAACGGTGCAAACATCATATGGAGACACCGTTTGCAAGCCTTTATAGTTACTCTGTTGAGATAAATGATCAGTAAACCCCCTCATGTGGATGTGTATACGCTACCTGCGGCCCTGCCTGGACACCAATCTTTGTCCATGATGCTAATTGACATCTTTTTGCCATATTTCCCAATAATCACGTCCACAATCAGACTTTCACGGCCATATCGAAGCATGAACGGTTTTTCACGTCCATTGGTTTGATTTCATATCCCTTTGCTCTTGGCTTGGAATCCTGAATTCCCCATACACTTTGTCCTTCTTGTAGGTGCATCAACAGGAAACATCAAAACGCACCTTCTTGATCCTTCTTGCACACTCAAGTATCTCTATATACACACAGATCCAAACCCTTCCCCCTTCGCTTTTTCTCCATCACACACCATATCACGCCCTGGCCCATAGGATATTGAGGTGACAGAGATACCGCTGTAATGTGCGCATCGGGATCATCATCGGGCTCACAGATCTGGACAATGCTGCGCAACGACCAATGAAATCTTCGTCGGTAAAGCATGCGTGAACGCATGGGTTTTGGACCCATGGCCCCTGACGTGCCTGTCGTCGCATGGCAAATGCAACTTCGTGGACAGCATGTAGTTTGGGGAACAAAGGAAATGCTGCAATACCGGCACGATATGCTGAAAAAGCTTCCCAAAGATATGCAGATATGAAGTTGTAGAGCGCATCGCTCAGTTCTTTCCCCTTCTCTCTAGCCATCAATGCATCGCTTGCATAGATGCCCCGGAAAAATCGGTTCACCTGCTGCGTGCCAAAAGCCTCAGGATAGGATGGGTGGAAAAGACACAAAGATGGACAGGGTTCATTTATATATGCAAAAAAGGTTCCCAAAGAGATTACATTTCAAACATATGCTCAACTGCTTCAGGATGGAATGCACGCAAGAAAATCAAGAACACTATTCTTGCAATTTCCACCAAAGAAACAAAGATCCTGAGGGCCTCCTCTTCTCTGATTCTTTCAGCTTTCTCGTTGCAAAACTCTTCAAGGAACAGCATAAAGTTGCTGGTCACGGTCGCTTTGCTCCAAGACCCATTGCGTTCCTTTGCACCAGGTCCACCAAAGGTGTGAATGTCGACTTTCCGTAGCACTGGGTCTATCTTTTTTTGTTTGCAGAAACACTTGTACTGCCTACCGATGACAGCAATCCGTTTGTCGATGCTGCTTTCAGGGATAAGCTTCTGCAATAACATGACTCCTGATGCCACCCAACTTTTGCCGACACCCAAATGCATTGCGTGCCATATGTCCAAACAATGAAAGCGGTTCCTTCCATTTGGTGAATCATCGTGAAGCAGGAGGGCTGTCAAGGGAGATTCTCTGTCCCAAGGAGGCTCTTGGTCCACCACATGTGACCTTTCCATCGCTTCCTCAGCAGCTTTCCTTGGGATCTCTTTGGATGGGGAATGGCTGGATGGGAAGATCATCCATGGGGTGAAAGTCACCTGATGGGATTGTTGATAAAACCTCCAGATAAAAATAGCTATGTGAAATCTTGGTGTAGACCCTGTAACATGCTGCATGTTCCTTTGGATTAATCCGCATGATAGCGCAAAGAAAAACATGTTGATGCACAAAGAAGCTGCATGTCTTCCCAGTCAATACCCTGGCCACATGTGCACAAATGGCAAATCCCAGCTCCTTCCACGCCGAAGTCCTCTTCTCCAGCGCCCTTTGGAGCCCTTCTATAAGAGCGTTGCAAATTCGCGCTGGAAACCTGTGTCAATGAATGGACTTGGCACTGCATGAGATTGATAACACATTTGCAGGATAATGAAATATGGGGCATGGCACTGATTTGTGATCGTTGGCGAACCCGCCAACGATATCGAGGAGCACTAACATTCAAAACACCAAGAAACTAGGTAGGACCAGTCTCCTTTGTTTCCAAGGATGATTGGAAATATGATTGCTCCATCAATGTCAAGTCCAGCTTCACAAACGGCCAAATCTTCTGAAAGCATCTGAAAGATTCGGTTCCATACCCGGCGATCATCAGAATACATGTCCTGTGCAGGGCAAATTGAAGCATATGGGCAGTTATAGAAACGTGCATGCATACACGACAAACTTAAAAAAGCACTGGTGATGTCATTTAGCATCATGGACAAAGGTTTGTATCCAGGCAGGGTCACAGGTATTTAAATAGAAGCTTAAATCACACCATCCCAGCCAAACAGTCCTTGGGGCAATTGCAAACCATCACCCGGGTCTGAAGTCCACTGCGTAACAGGTTCAAAGGAACACCTTCACCCATAGCCCTCAAGTTTTGCTCCACTTCCTGGGCCCTTTTGCTTGTTCCATACCCCAGTGCTCCTTGAAGAGATAGAAACAGAATTCCTCCCTTCTTGAAGCTGGTTCCCTCATCGCCGTGCAAGTACAAGGGAATGCACTTGCAAATGTCTTTCTCCCCTCTGTCCACTTGGCTCCACAACTGGTGGGACGGGTGAATAGATCTGAACCTTTGCCAAAATGTTAGAAGCAAAGGTTTGGCATCTTGAAGGCTATGGCCCCCCCAGGAAGTGATGCAAGTCGTTCATTTTGTACATAGTCTTGATGACATTTGATGGCTTCAGCCAGGGGAACCCTTGCAATGGTGACTTTTCTTCAATGGTCACCTCCACCGGGTAATAGAAATTGTGACACTTGAAAATCTCTTGCACTCCAGCTTCCTCAGCATGGAGGTGTGACACATCAAAAGGCTAAAAAGAAACACCTATATAGTTTTTTGCCCACAAAAAAGTCAGGTGGAGAAATCCAGCAGCTGCAGTGATGAAGATTGGCCCATACGTGAAACTCCCCAACCAGATGTTATGCCTGAAACAAATCCAGGGTATAGACTCGACCAAAAACAACAAGCGCATATGATCCCAGAATCGGACTTCTTTGGGTCCACCGCTGCCAAAGCTCGGAGGATAGGGCAAGGCCAGGAGTCATGTCGAAGCTGTGCATCCCTCAACTCCGCAGCTGCGTCGAGGATGATCTCTCGGCATTTGTCCTGGTCAACGCATTGTATGGTATATGGACTCAATGTTGCGAAGGGTTCAACATTGTTGGGGAACTGCATCCATATCAAACAAGCAAGCTCAAAGATAGTGGCTCGAATTAACGATTATTCACTTGCAACTGCAGGGGCAATCTGGAACCATACAATGCAAGTGTTGCATGGTTAGTTGTGCACAGTGGCTTGCAAAAGATAATTGATCTATACCCCAAAGTCATTGGAACAAACGTCATTGGCATTACATCCAAGCAACTCCCCGGCTGTATCTCCATGCCAGCCTTCTTGCTTTCTGCGAGGCACCTGGCATTGTCGGGATGGGATGGCAGCAGGGTTTTCTCCAGGGCGAGTTGAAGGTCACTGGGGATGATTCAGGTTAAGCTTTGAAGCCTTCCATGGGCTCAAAAATCCTTGGGTCACAACCGCAAGCATTCCCACACGCCTTTTTTCTTTGAAGCGGTATAGATGCATGTTAGCACGCTGTGAACTGGTATGCTGTGGTCATCACCACAGATTGAAACATGAGCTCTACTTCCCCAGAGCTTTGATCATTTGTGAATGCCAAGATTGAGTCATGTGGTTTTCCACATGGCATGTTTCCCAAAAAAAGCCCAAGCTTGTGGATGGGTCCCGCAAAACTCTGCAAAGCATTATTTTGACAGGATAGGTTCCTTCCTACCAGATTCATTTGTATATAAGAAAGATGGTTCTGCATACCCACATTAGATGATGAAACACATAGAAACCAAACTTGTATGGAGTCTTGTTCAAAATCCAACATCCACGCTCAGGTGGTCTTCTTTGCACGCTTTGGCCCCTTCTGAGAAGGCTCGGATTGGTGTTCAAGGGTCTTCTTCCCCTTCCTTGGCACCTTTGCCTTCTTGGAAGGTTTCCCCTTAGAGGCCTTCGAAGTCTTTGACTTCGGGGTCTTTTTCGGCCCACTAGCAGTCTCAGCCGTTTTCTCCTTCTTGTTGGCCTTCCCCTTGCCCTTGCCCTTCTTGTTCTTCTTGTTGCCCTTCTCGAGGTTCAAATCCTTGACCAACTGCCTGCAATTGGTTTGGGGCCCATCATGATCCGGAAAGGAATCAACAACGTGTATAGCGAGCATTGTATTTTGTTGAATGGAAAATGCACTTGAGAAGCTGAAGGGTGGCCTGTACCGAGAATCCAATGGGATAAGAGACGTGCACCTCAGAGATTGTCCCAAAGAAGAATGGATCGAGTCTTAAATGTTGGTTGTCCAATTCAAAGAGGAACATGCAACTATATCATCATTCATATCCCAGACACAAAGTCTTTACGGTCTGCTTCTCTTCAGCAATCTCTTTCAAAAGCCTGGGGTTGCAGGCTGCATGCAAAACTGTTTTGGATAGCATGCTGCATGAGAAGACCGCGCTGCATGAAATACCTTGTGAAGAGTAGGCCATTAGGAGCATGGACTTTTCCCCAATCGACAAGCCCAACAGTTGTCAAATCCTATCTAGGTCCTAGGTGGTCGCTTGAAGGACCTGTGCACTAAGTACACCATGTAGGGACCGGCGTGGTCTGATGAAATGGTTTCTCCACCATCTCTGATGTTCTTGAAGCCAGGCTGTCCTCGGCCAACGATTGGAAGCCACGATCGGGAGAGGACTGGGTGCATGTTTGATCAAACACATGCAGCATACAAGTTGCTGAACTTTCATTCATGAAACCATGTCTCATGTGCGTTCAGGGTTCCTTTTTACCTCTGTATGATGGCAGCTTCAATGTAGGCGCAAGAGATGGTTTCGCTGGCAGCGTGAATCACCACCATTTGCTCCCATTTGACAGGGTCATTCACATATCCAAACTTCTGATTATAGAACCGAAAGGCAGGACAATGTGTGTAACCAGTCTTGTATACGCAAGGGGATTCCGATTCCAAGATACGGTCAACCACTTGGAAACAGTGCTTCAAGACTTGCCCTGCCAACATCCCTGGTTTTTTTGGGCAGGTTGTATGTCAGCTTTGGGTCCATCTCAATCTTGTGAAAGCAGTCCTTTGTACGTGCTAAAGAGAGTGTCTCCTGGTCCAGGAGATCTTGCCAGCAATGCTTGGACCTTGATGATCTGGAAGGGCCTGGCGGGATCAGGAGTGAGTGGGGAGCTGAATCCTATAGCAGAACATCAGGAACAAAGAACAACTGGGAATCATCTTGTTTCGATGGGCCTGGGACATGTTGAACCGATTGAAGCGGAGGAGTGGGAGGAGCTACAGGTACTGCCTGACCGGAGCTCGAATTAAGTTTAGGCTATATAGAGAAGATGCATCATGAAAACACACCCAAAAGATCTCAAAAGACAGTGCCGCACATGATCCATTTAAATGTTTTGTATACCGTGAACAAGCGCTTAAAGCGCCTCCCGATTGTACATCAAGAGCTCCCGAATCCAGTCTTCCGCTTCGTCATTGTCATGACCCCCATCCATGAGCAAATAGACCAGGAAGTGACCGCACCCCAGGCACAAGGGTGCAGCCCATGTGGCTGCGTTTGACCCAAAATATCTTCCACTCCCCAAAAAATCCGATCGGAAAAAGCAAAGCGCTCAAGACAAAACAGCGCCCTATACCCTATACATTCACTACAGGTCCAGTGGTATTTGGACGAATGAACTTTTGGTTAATTTGCATCAAGCAACGCCGATAGACGGTCGCTTTCCAACTTCCCATCCCGGTGATCCATCTTGAGCTCGGTAAGTTGTGACCCAAGGGTTCCGAAGGACGCTTTCATCTTCTCGTCCAGGGATTGCAGGGGTCCATGCAACCTGAATTGAATGAGATGGATACCACGAACACATCATATACATAAAGCACAAAGATAAGGACTCAGCATCGATCAAGCTATTCTGCAGTCCAAAGGCTTTTTTGCATTTTCGTCAGACGAACCACCAAGTGTATCCACCATCTTCTCGACAGACTGTTGCTTCTTTTCCAGGGAACCCATGTATGCTTCTAAATCGGCCACAGGCTGGTCAGGGAGCAAAGCTCAGCATTGACTCACTTGGATGTTTGACATACCAACGAAATCAAGTTTGATCTATATACATTCCAATCTCTTTTCGTGCATGATAAAAATGCACGATCATGTATCCCCATGGCCCATGACATCCCATGACCCATGACCTGCGCTCCCACAACCTCTAGACTTGGTGTAGGGTCGGGGATGTTCACGAGATCCTTAGGCAAACCGGCTGGAGCATCCTTCGAAGTCTTGTCCTTAGATCAAGGTCATCGAGCATGGGAGGTGAACATGTTTCCCCAAAACGTTCTTGAAGTTCAAAGAACATTGGCGCATATTGGTGCACACTTTGGCGAGCATCATTTGCTCAAATCGATCGATCGATCGATCCACTTGGTTTATTTCAAAATGCAGCGCAGGTTTGAGCTCCCACAAATCCACACCATTATATCAAGTCTCATCAAGTTGGGTTTCCTCCCTTTCGATGGTTGTCTCGGCTTTCTTCAGCAGTGTTTGGTCATCAACGATCACGTAATATTCGCTGATCTGATCATTATACTGCCACGGCCTGCATTGGGAATCATATGCCATCAGAAGATTAGCTTGCGTTGATTTTATAGTTCTGTCACATTGATGGCCAATGAAAGCCCAGCCTCACCAATGACTCAGGGAACTTTTTGCAGTAGGAAATTATCTTGCGAACTGCGACAGCTGAAAACTGGTTGGACTTCTTGAGCTGGTCCTCGGTGTACCACTTTCCACGCTTTTCCGTCTCTCTCGATTCAAGGCGCTCTCTGATGAGCTTGCACTTCGTCACGAACTCTGCCTGCACGTTGAGGCTAGCAGCGGGTGGGTGGCAGCAAATGGTCATGCAAAATGACTATATTCAAACTGATGCTGGGCATCCAGATGGGTACTTGTATATAGATCATATAAAGGAAACAAATCGATTTTACACGCCTTGATTTTCTTGTAAGCGCTTCGAATGACACCATGCTTGGCGATGCACTCAAGTAGCGCCATCTCTAAGACTTCTCTTGAGCTACCTCCTTCGCGGTACTGTTCAGAAACCTTGGCGTCGATGTTGTATTTTCCTGAAGGCTTTCGTTCACAAAGTCTCCGGCACCGCATGCGAAGTGCGTCTGCGCTCATGCGCACCTCGGGTTAACGGCCTGATTATACAGCCTGATTACTATATCACATGCCAGCACAGACTGCCTGTATATGGTTTTGGGCCGAGTTCAAAACTGCACTGCATGTTACGTAGGGACTTCAAGTATAATTGAAGCAAAGGGACGGTATGTCCACTGGGTGTTGTGATCGTCGCCTCTTCAGAATCCGTGTCAGAGGCAGCATCAGAACCAAACATCTCCTGCTCAGTTGGCTCTGCTGGCTCTGCTGGCTCTGGCTTGTTTTGCTTGGCTGGAAGCGCAGGTTCCAGAGTACTCGCGTTTGATTTTGGCAATGACTCAACCGGTTTGCTTTCCGATTGCTTCATACTCTCCTCCATGGAGGTGATACGTGCCATGGCCTGCTCCAAAAGTATCTCTACCCGTGATGGTGCTGGTGGTGCTTCGAATGCGACATGTTTTGGTTCAGGATTCTTAACCTCCGCCTGCTGTCTCATTTGAGCCTGCAGGGCCAGGATTTGCTTCTGCAATTCCTCATTCTTCTGCTTCTCGGCCCGGATGGCCTGGTCTATGGCCTCGCAGGCATATATATATATATATATATATGTACACGCTCAGATATCATAAAAGAAATATACATGCCCCACGCATATCGATGTTGGTCCAGGCCTGAGACTGCGCACTTCCGGCAGGACTTGCTGCACCCGATCCCCCATGGCTTCTCTCAGCCGGTAGAGACACGTTAGGCAGACCAAGTGGCAGACCAGTAGCATGAACCGGAGGAGTAGGCACAGCTGGTGTGCCCTCACCATGCGTAGCACTTGAAGGGGCAGGGACAGGGGGGATAGCCAAGTCTCCAATATCCTTATTAAGGAAAGCATGTGAGAAAGGAATGTCATGTCTTTCTTATATAGAAGCACTGCAGTATAATGCAACATTCTCATCAAGTGGTTTGTTGAAGCCAGGTCTCACCAGGGATAGTTTGCTGCGAACACATTTGCTGAAATAATGTCGGCGAATTGAACCCCGCTTTGATGGCCTCACTTGCATGAGATGTTGAGGTGTGAGTATATACCCAACGAATCCATCAAACGCAAGGTTGGAATGAGAAGAAGATCACCCACACATAAATCCTGTTCCAAGATTCCGATGGCGGTGTAAGAGCTTGCTTGCGCGGTGACACAGGCTCTGTCTTGACGACCGCGACGTTCTGTTTGGTGGCCTGGACTGGGCCGGATTGGGAGTATAAAGTGTAGAATAATGGGAAGTGGAAGAATTAATGTTTTCGTTTCAAGCTGCGACCAGTAGATCATATACATATGGGCTTTTGCAGAGGATTGATGGGGTGATTGATAAGAGATGGTGGCTGTAGCGCCAATGCTGGCTAGTGACTCCATTTGCCTGCATAGCCATCATCACGGATTTGGTCACCTGCCAGCGTGTGCTTTAGCGTGAGTGGGATTGGTCATAGTGGTGACCCATGTATAGACAACCCAGTGCGTGGTAAACTGCATGGTCATGCTTCTTGATTGGGGACCATCTGCCAAATATGAGACCCCCGAGTTTCCCAGCCTCACTCAAGCTCTCCGGATTGAGGTTGACACCACTCACGCGAGCAGCTTCCACAATCCCACGCTCCAACGTTTCGCAACTCCAACCCTGGGATGGTAAAGCACTGACAGTGGAGTCTCTGGACATCCTGTTCAGGTGCGATCACGGCTATCTAGGAAACCCTCACTGGCCAAATGCCTGACATCCAAAAAAAGTGTATATTCAATGTCATCTCATGCATGGTGGGCACATTGAGCTACATAAATCCAGAGTCCATGAGAGAAGTTGCAAAGACTTTCATGTTTTCCTGCAGGGGTCACGAAGATCATGGTTCATACCACGACTATAATCACTAATTATCGATGGATGGAAAGCGCGGCTTACACCCCAGATGCCCAAATTCTTGTGAGAAGATGCCAAAAACTCACATTTTCTTGTTGATTCTTGAGGGAGCTGAAAAAAAGCTTTAAAAACCTAGATTTTTTACGTAATATATCCATAATTTTTGCGCAAGTCGAACGCAATCGAACGTATTTCGAACGTAATTTGAACGTAATCTGAACGTAATCCGAACGGTGTGCGATAGTTCACGTCCCTACAACGGATATTCACGTTCATATTTTGAAGTGTAATTGTCATACCAAAATAGGATCTCAGTGATTCTTGTGTGGTTTGGGTTCGACTTGCGCAAATCTTGCAAGGTTACCTGGAAAACACGCGCAGAAAGACCCATGGATTCCAATTATATTGAACTGATTGGCTTTTCCTGGGGTGCCTCTATACATTCTGCACATGATGTACATGGTTTGATGTACAGTGCAGATCAGTCTTGCACCCGACTCTCCATCTTATGAAGCACTTCAAAAGGACGTGGAAAGACCTGTAGCCACGACTCTGGAACCTGCAAGTGGCGGTTCCCCCTGAGGTACCGCAAACATGGTAAAAGGTTAGCCTCTGGCCAAGTGCTGAACGGCAGGCTTTCAAACATTGCCTCAGGAGTTTTTCCTGAGGCCACCTGTGGCACTCCTTCAGCGCCTTTGATCAAACCTGGGTAAATCTTCTTGAGATAGTCAGCAAAGCCCCGTGGGTAGGTCCTAAGCTGGAAACTGGGAGGTCCTCAGGGATTGGGATACAAAATGGACGGATTTGCAACACAGTCTTATACCACAATACACTCCCAAAATGAATTCTCAGGTTTATAAGAAACAAACACCTCATCAAATTGTAAACCAGGAAGCTGTGTCTTCTTCAGATCAGTTGTCCCCGATACTGAGACCTTCCCAGACTTGGAAATGGTCTTCTTCACGGTCTTCAACTTCTCTTTGGAAGGGTCATGGTGATATGGGCCCTGGTCAACCAAACCGAATTGCTTGTTGTTTGTCCATCCCTTCGACGGTTTTGCCGAGGGTGCGCCGAAGCTCCCCATACTCCACTTGATTTTGTATACCTCAGCGATGGGCGAGGCTCTCGGACTGCTTGGGCGGAACCATGGGGTCCTCTATGGAACTGGCAGTGCAAATCAAAAGGAAGGCCAGGATATTTGCTTTATTTGTCAAGGCATATACGCCTTGATCAGTTGGAAGAAGGCAAACCAAGTCAGGTCACTCGAGTCTTCTCAGTAAACCACTTCATCCTGAAGTATTCACCCATAAGTGAGGAGCTCGGCTGTTCCAGCATGTAACTTCCCCCACAACATACTGTCAGGGCCAGAAGTAGGACTGTCCTCAGGTTTGAATGTGGCATGGGATGGTGCAATATATACAGGTATATGGAATCATTCAAATTAAGATACAGGCCACTATATCGGTATATTGATCTAGAGACAACGCCAATTCCAAAAGCCTATGTGGAAATACAAAAAGACTATAGATTAAGCAAGAACAAGGTTCCGTGACATCATCATGTTTGCTAGACGGATATATTGTTTACTCTCATCTCCCTCTGGATTCAGTAGGCTCCTTCCACTTGTGTAGCTGTTAATCCAAACCCATGATGAGCAAACTGTTGCAAACACACTTCCAAAGTTGAACGTGCGGGCAGAGAGTATCAAGTGGATGTAAAGCCTGGGCCAACAACACATATTGCAAGTAAAAGGATAACATGTAAACGAAGCACTCGCAATGCTGAAGCATAAGATGCGTTTAATTAGTTTGTTTTGACGTGCATTGTTCACTCAGTACCACACCCAAACCCAGCGTCAGACAGGATGTCCATAGGGTTTTGTTCCCCAGGTTGCCTTTGGAAGTAGTTGATATCAACACCAATGCTGGCAATAGAGTCAGCTCTCATGGCTCGCCACACCTCGCCCTCCCCAGCGAAAAAACTCCAGGAAGGTTAATTCCTGGCATAAGAAGCAGGGTGGCCTGGATCTAAATAAGTGGGGGCTGCGTAGTTCAAAATTGGCATACCAAGACAAAAAGGTCAAAGCAGTTCTATGTCCTTTCATTCTTAGGACCTGTCAACCTGTCTTGGCTATTGTGAAGACAAAGTTGTATAGGATCGATGTATGAGTATATCCAAGGTGGTTTTGAAGCCATGCACTGGTATGTTGTCCTCCTGGTAGGACTGAAAGTTGGCGCCAAAGCAAACCAGGATGCAAATCCAAATGAATGCCTCGGTTTTGCAGTTTTGCGGTCAAAACTTCAGGCAAGTGTTTGAATCCATCAGACTAGCTGACCATTGGTGTGGTTACAGAATATCCCTCAATGTACTCCGTCCTGAAACAGATTGTGATGGATCTAAACAGATTTGCAGGTGCAATTCAAAAACAATATTGATGCTGATATCTTGCATCATGTGTTTTCCTGTTGGCAGTTCAGCCATGACACCTTGGGAATTTCCAAAGCGACAAGACGCTTCACAACCTCTCCGATGTGTTGCCGACCAGTCGTCATGGCCACCACGAACGTTCAGCTCGAGAGTGTTGATATGTAAAATGAAACTCAAAACTGGACCAACTACTTGAATCTAATGACTATAATGATCTCTATTTATGCAACTCTTTGCCTTCCTTGCACGTGGTTGTCCTTGAGCTGTTCTTTGTAAACACAGAGCTTGCTCACGGATCAATGTGGATAGGGCTTTGCAATCAGCTGCTCCAAACTCCGTATGAGAATCGTGTGATGCATCCGTTCTTTGATCGTCCATCAACGTAACTTGTGTCAAAGGCGTTCGTTAACCAAGTTTATATATATATATATATATATATGGTGATGTGAATGTCTTATGTATATATACCGGTCGCATTGCATGAGATCGGCATCTGTCTCCACAAGCGAGCCTGGGGAACCTGTGAAAATTGACCAGGTTGCCCCATGTTTCAAGGCATTCCGGTCACCTTTCCTGACGATCCGCCTTGGGGCCTTGCGCTGAGGCCTTTTCATCACCTGGCCAGCCATGCGGAGCAGGTGGGAAGATGACCACCAGGGATGTGCAGGGGTTGCTGTGGCTACATGACATCACGAGGGGATCTTTATGATTTGAACGCTCAATGAAACTATAAGAAAACAATTTGGTATTCATATTGGACATCAAGTTGCACATCGAATCAGGTCATTTCAATACATGGTAAAGGAGGGCCCACCTGCATTTCATATATTGTCATTTTTTTCACCTCTGCTGCGTTCCTGCGTGAATGCTGTCGACCCAACTGATCATTGCAGGGTCACATAATTGGCAAAGAGAAACTGAGTGGGTATTCCACTATACCTGATTGGAGTGAAAATCGCATATGCACTCAGCAATCCTGGTCCCTGTCCCATCACGCTTTGACTTTACTTAATTTAGCATCAACACTAGCATGAAAAGTATGCTGGGATTCTGGGATATCGGAATTCCAAAACTAGGAACCCGGTGTTTGTTTGTACGTCGATCCTCAAAGACATCCATATATAGATACACAGACAATTTAAGTCATCACCTCCAGCACTGCAGCGTGCTTGGGCCTATGGGACAGCATCGCTGTCAACATATGGACACCACCCGAAACTTCAATTTGGGGCAAGCCAGGCCGGACCTTATCATGTCCGAAACAACATGTTCCTATGTGTTTCACAGTGGAGAGGGGGAGAGAGAGAGAGAGAGCAACGAGAGCAACCTGGAACACACTTGGTTTTATAGTGGAAAACATGAACCGTTGGAAGATCCAATCTCGTATATGAGTTTGTGGGTTTGCATGCAGGATATTGGCAGTTTACAGTTGTTGGGTCAAACAGAAATTGATGACCAGACCATGTCAACAACCATGGAAGACTGACTTGCGCCAAAGCAAATTAAATTTACCTTTGGCAAATCAAGAGTTCAAGATTCAGGCTAGGACTCTGATGGTCCAAGATTTTCCTTCCACTCCTTCACTGCGGCATCCAGCGAGGCGTTCAACACGTGCTTCCTGTTGTTGAGTTCCTCACCGGTGACATCAGGCTTGGCCTTCTGGAGCTCAGTCTTGAGATCTGCAGCCTGGGCGGGATGAGAATACAAAGACGACCCAAAACTAGGTTCATGATAACTCTATCAATGGCCCAGGCAAAAGGTTGTATAAGTACAGGTCTGCTGCTATATGAGTTCTATTGGATAGAATCCCTTGATGTCATGATGATTGCAACCATTGCCACCATCACTGGTTCTATCATGTACTGTAATGTCCGGTGTATTGAAAAAGGGCGCATTGGGTATTCCAACTTGGGTCCATATATTATTTGTTGGTAAATTTGTGCAATCGTGTTTGGCATTGGTGGCAACACATGCCTGCATGCATGTTGATATGTTAGAATGAATCAAGGGTCTTGACATGAGTTGAGACAGCTCTGAGAAAACCTATGAGCCTATACCTCTATTCCAGCAAGCCCACAAGCTGCATGCCACCTAGAAACAAACAAAGCGGCAACCGTCCAACTAGCATAGGTGCAAGGGCTGGCTGATCCAAAGTAAGCAATTTGGGCTTGGCCAGATCCTTTGGCTTTCTTGCTCTGGAGGAAGCGCCTGTCAACTTTCACCCCCAAAGCCTTCCTGGTCCAGTAGGGGCTGTAGCTTACCCCAGTGATCTGGTCAGGCGCCTTGAAGGATGGGTGACAGCACCCAGAGCTCTGGCACTCCTTCAGGGTCTCCAAGGCGAGGTCTTTGGCAGTCTCATCCACATCGTACACCTTCTTTGGCTTTGGGGTGCGGCGACGAGCTTCCTGTTTCTTGCCCTTCACCTTGCCCTTGGCCTCATTGCCAGTACTCTTGGCCTTCTTGCCATCACTCTTGGTCTCACCCTGCTGCTCCTTGCAGGCTCTGGTCGTTTTGGTGACCTTGGACTTCGATGCTTTCCTTTTCTTACTCTCATTGGAAGTTTCCTTCCGAGATTTTTCCACTGATTCTCGACCCTTCCCCTTGCTGGCTTTCGATGCCTTCTTGACTTGCTCCGAATTCACCTCCTCTCCAGTGTCCTGGGTTTTTGACTTGGACTTCTTCAACTTCTTGGAGTTGGTGCCACCCTCAGCCAAGGTAATGTCTGCATGGTGGCCCTTGCTCTTTGCGCTCATGTGGTGGAGGCGCTTCATCTTCTTGCTCTTCACAGGGAATCTCTCCTCAGAATCGCGAGTAGGGAAGTTGGGGTCAAGCTCATCCTCGCCAGATGCCACAGGTTCCGATGCATCAAGTAGCTCTTCTGCTGGCTTGGGGGTTGTCTTTTTGCACTTCTTCTTGGACGTTGTCTCCTTCTTGGACTTCTTGGATGTCCGCTCTTGAAGTTTCGCAGAAGAAGTTCGACCACCTTTCTTCTCATCTTCTGACCTTTCTTTTGCAGCCTTTGCAGCCTTCTTGGCTGCCTTCTTCGCCTCCACCACAGCTGCACCTTCTTTTTTCTTTTCCTTTTTGGCCTGCTTGGCCTGTGCCCGGTCCTTCTTCATGCGGAACTGCTTTCGACGTGTGATCACTTCGTGCTCCGGGATCTCAACAGCTTCGATGCCGAATTGTTTCACCTGGATGGGTAAAAGAGACTAAAGAGACATGGCAGCATGACTCATGACATCTCATGACTATATTTAAAAAGCCCAAGGCTGTACTTTTTGCGCAGGCAGACAACTGGCCTTTCAGGATGAGTAAAACAATAAATCAGGTGGAAGCATGTTTGCAAATTGACTTCTTTATAGGAAAAGTAAACTTGTCCAGCATAATTTAACTTGGTTTGAACTGAATACGTTGATGGGCCTCTTCTTCCACCGCTCGGTCATGCTCATCCACTCGCTGGAGGGTCTTCAAAGCAGCGTCGGTGTTTAGGAGCTGATTTGGGGAACATGGAAGCTGGGTGCCTTCCACATCAGTAGCTGAAGGGAGCAAGGAGTCAGACAACACGTGGATAGCTTTCTCTTCCTCATGTGGTGGAGCGCTCATACCTCATGGGTGTGGGCAGCTGACCATGACTCTTTTGGACATGCTAGCCATTTCCTTTAACTTTTATATATGGACCCACACCCGACTCCAACATACCTTTTTGATCACTGTAGTTCATGCATTCCCATCGCAATGTCAACAATGCATGAACCTATATATGTTCCTTCTACATTGAACGCCCCGCCAAAGGCCACAGTCAAGATGCCCTTCGTTTCTTCTTTCGGAGGCTCGATGGGACTCGAGCTGGCGCTTTCTTTGGGTGGAGTCGACCTGGGCGGCAGCGTCATTGAACGTGATGAACCCAAATGAAATTTGCTATACTAGCCTTGGCTATACGAAGGACGCTTCCAGAAAGGACTTTGCTTTGTTGGTTTGACTGGTTCAACCAAGGTGAACACATTCTCTATATACTGGTGTTCCTTAATTGCCAGGCATTTGGAGACAAAAGAGATGGTTCAGTTTCTGCATGCAGTCGAAACACTTTTGAAGTTGCAAGACCGCTTCCATTATTATCTTCATGGTTGCAGTGTCCGGTATGGTTGAGCTTGCCAGCTCTGAGCCTTCATCATCTGACAGAATCTCCACAGTCAGAGGCCCCAGGTCCTTCAGAGGCGAACATTGAAACGGGATGGTCCAACTGCACTACATGGCAAAATGTTTACCTGCTTTGTATGAGGGAGAATGCCACTAGATATGATCAACAAGACTCACTCTTTGATTATGGTAAATTAAACACATATAGACATATGTGGATGCAGTGGACGCATTTCAATTGGATATATACCATCCTCGTGGGCCTTTTGGGACTTGAAGATTGGTACGTCCATAGGATCAACTTTTGGCAGTGGCGCTTCAGCGCGGCATGGTGTTGGCACTGGCTGCGTTGCCTCTGCAGGCGAACCACACCTGTTCTTGTCCGCAAGGCGTTGCGGCTCAGCTGGTGGAGGGAGAGGCATCTCAGGAAGCTCGTGTTGGAGAGTGTCCATGATTTGATTCAGCTCAAACTCCGGGTTGAATTCTGTAGCACCATCCCCTTCAAGTAAAGTGCGCGACACATCCTCCAAAGGGTTCTGAGAATCATCAGCTTCGCTTTCACCAGGTTCATGCCTTGAAGTCGTAGGCCGCCAATCCTGGCAAGATCCGTGGAAGGAGTAGGAAAGGATCGTGGAAGGAGTATAGGAAAGGATTCCAATTGGCATTCTATATGCTTGTGAATTTGTGATTTAAATAATGAACCGTGCATGCATATCAGACGGGCTGCCAAGCATAAACCATGTAAGTGGCAAGTATTTTTTCCTGGCATGGACTTGAGCTAGGTGTGCGCCCTTGCATTAGGCAGTCAACAGCCCTGCCAAGATATTTCATGTGCGATCTCAAGCACCGGGGCCGATTATGGATCGTTTCCATGACAAGAAAGTTGAAGAAAACCAACAATGGCATGTCCCTTAAAAAGAAACCAACCATTCAGACTCCCAGCACAATGTCCTTGGTGTCAAAGCCCATTGCTTCAACGAGGATGCTGATGGCTTCATCCTCCAGGGCTCAAAATGGGCTCAAGGACACTTGGGGCAGGGACTGCTTGCCCGGGTAAAGGCAGCCAGGGTTTTCTTGTCCCTTTAAAAAGGGTCAAACCATGCATGGTTTTGTTGGGAAACATGTCCAATCAAAACATTGATTGCTATGGGTTGATACCGTGTAAATCCTTAAATTTTGGGACAACACAGTTCTTGGAGAACGCGTTGATGTTTTTTGGAACCCACAAGTCCTGGGGAGGTGTGGTCCGATATGTGAACCTCTTCAATTTGCTGATCATCCTTCTGATGGCCCATGCCTCCTGATAATGGTGGTCAGAAGTTCGATTCAACTTCGCAAGTTTGAACAGTTCATCGACCGCGTCGATGAGACTGGAGATCGAAGGCAACTGAAGCTCATTCCCCTTCATGAGACTAACAATCGGCCGCAAGACCGGCATGTTGACCTTCAGATTTTCTGTGGTGGAGTCAACGTACTTGGACACATACTTGTTTGTGACACTGTCCCAAGACAAGCAAAGGTTCTCACCATCACGCATCCTTTCCCGGATGGATGGATCATTGTCCCACTGGATTGGAACATCCTTCAAGTCATAGTTCCCAACCACTTTGGGAGAAGATTGTGAGGACTGCTCTGGGCTGCTATGGTCGTTCCCATCCTTGATTGCCCATGGGAGGGCTCGTGACCGGACAGCCATCGCCTTGGGTGGCATTTACCCACAGCCCAATCCTGACCCTTCAGCCAAAACCCCTGTTTGCGGAGGACTGGCGAATGGATGATGAGTGGCTTCAGCATGGCACCATGCAATTACCTGCAGCACCCCTATATATATAAACCTATCACTGTCCCAGTCGTGAAAGGTAAGCTTAAATTTATAAGCATGAACATATCATTGTCTCATGCACCACCAAATGACCTTTGCTGCCAATCAAAACTGCTCGACTGCCAGCGCAAGGGGGTCTCGGGTGAAAGCCGGGAAATCAAACAAGCCAGATTCACACTTCATCCACCAGTGGGAACGCACATGGCCCCGGGAGCCCCAACAAGGGCTTGTGCATGCCATGTGCATAAAGAAAGCATTCATTGTGCAGATCACTACACTTCACTACAGCATCCGCGGACTCTGTGCCGTGAATGTATGGGTTTGCCACCATCGTTCAAATCTAGAAGGGTCCACATTTGTCAATTGTGGGTGGTGATCCATTGCAGAAACTGCTATGTTTGATTTACGCAGTGACCATCCATTTCAGGCTTTACCAAGGCTTTTGCCCGATGCCTTGTAATGCACGCAAAATGCGTGAGTGCCTAGCTCACCCCGAGCCAAGCTTCAAAAGAAACCTGACATGAGAGCGGGAATGGGACCTGATGGCACGACAGGTGGTGGCGGGTGAAGTGGATCAGGTTGAAGGGCTTACCATTCTGCAACAATGATATGGAACCCATGTGAAAGAAACAATAATGTTGTGGCTTCATGGCCATGTCAAACACATGGGATAAACATTGATAAACTGTATAAGATCATCGAATCCCAACTGTTTGGGACCTAATGTGACTGGACATTCACACCAGTGCAAGTGATTCAACACTCAGGTTTGATATGTACATCACTGTACATCATTCATATAGGTCATTTAGAGCCCATCAGTTGGACATAAGGTATACAAAACAGGCTCAAAACCATGCCTACGGTAGATCACGTCCCGGACAACAATTGTCGTCCATATGTTTAAAAGATTACTTTTAAAGACTGGGACAGAAAAAGGTATACTAGAGGTGCTGCAGGTACAAAAGGTAGTCCTGCTAAGATTTGCTAAGGCTTCTGAAACACAAAAGCCCATTCTACTTCGGAGACCTTCAAGCCACTGGCTGGCCGGGCTGGTCTGGTTCCGCGACGAAACGCCGATGAGGTTCTTCTGGGAGCGAGGCGAGGCCTGCCGAGGGCGAATGTGTGACCTTCGGATGTTCCCAGGAGAGATAGTTGCTGTACTGCTGTACTCTCCCGCAAACAAACATGTGGTTTCGACCATTTGCCTCTACAACTCAATGGTTTTGGGGTTCCATGTTCACCTGCGGGGGAGTAGGTTTTTGGGTTGTATAAGAGTCAGAGACCCCTGGCACCAACCCAACATAGGCAACCATGCCATAGATGCTGTGACATTTGCGCATTTGGAGACTTGTGGGTTGATATTGTTGTTTTTGGGGCGTGGGTGGGTTAAATTCACATGTTGCATATTGTTGCATTCTGCATCATTCTGTTCAGCTAGACGATTTGGATCATCCTGTGCAGGTGCGCCTTTTTATGTACACCAGCTGCCTCCAGCGGGGTCACGTCATTGGATAACTACCAGTTCAAAGGGCCTCCATTGGGACACCCCAACAGGAAGTGCCTTCTATAGGTATATGTGTTTGCTTGCTGTTCAAATTTTGCCAGGGATGAGCAATCCCAATGACCAGTGATCTTAGGTGGATTGAACAAGGCCTCTACTAACCATCATCATCCACAGTTACTGGTAATAGGATAGGCCAAAAAGAACAACTAGAACATGCCCCCAATGTAAGTAACTTTTCCAGACACGACCCGTCCCCTAGACTGGCATATTGACTTACCGTGCTCCGATTCACCCCAGGTCAACCGTCCCAATGTAAGGAGAATGTGGAGCACCAGATCCAAGCATTTCCATGTAAATGTCCAAATGCTTGGAACGCACATGTGAAGCACCGTCTCATGCTTTGTTTGGGACCGTAATAACTATTCCACCGTCCCATGGAGTGCATCCCGAAGTGTGGGTCAGCATGCGTTCTTCGCATCCTGATGTTTCGATGCGGCGGGAGATTTGGACGAAACTCAGGAGTCTCCTGCATAGCTCTGGCTGGGGCGCCTGGGGCGCCACTTGGGCTTGGGCCTTGGGCTTTGAGCTGGGAAAAAAAGACACCTGGCACTCCTGGCACCACCCTGAGATGGCCAAACTCAATGTGATTTGCGGATATTTGCGGTGTTTGGGTGGTGCCAGAGGATGTCCATCAAGAGAAGTGAACCAGACTTCATGAATTCATTGTTCACCTGAGGTTCAAGAGTTTTAAGTCCATGTCGTGGAATGTGTGGATGTATCCACCACAGCTACCCTCCCTAGGGCTCCAGTCGTACCTTGGGAGAAAGTGGTTGGGGTGGGTTTGGAGTGTCCAGCCATACCTTCTGAGGAGGTACTTGGAGCCCTATAGGGCCCTACGGCCAAGAGGTCTTGATGACACTCTGACGAACACATGGAAATAGAGTGAAAGCCCTCAGCTCGCGGCGGAAGAAAGTACGTGTAGTCTTCCAAGGGACCATTCTACCCTTCCATGCGATGTGTTCGTCAGAGTTAAAAAATGTAGCCTTTTGGGGGGGACGGGTAGCATATAAAACGTTCGGTTCACCTCTATACCTATAGATTTTCCAACTTATGCAACATGTTTGCCGTTTGGTTGGTTTTATAAACCCTAGGCATCCAGTCGTACCTTCTGAGGGCCCTCCTGGCACCTACATGTCTCAGTGTCTCCTTCCTCACCTTGCCTTTTCGAAGATACGAACACGTATCCCTAGGTTAAATGAACAACCACATAGAAATTGCTAAGATTTTTGAATAAGTTGCTAGCACCGGTGCTAAGATCTAGGTAGTGATCGGGATCGATCGCCCACCAGCCGAGATGCAAGTCTCGGGCTCCGTGAGGTTTCGTGACGTGGCGCTGACGTCTTTGGGCTCCGAAACAGGGTGGGATTGCTGGCATGCAGCCGGTGGTTTGTTGTAGAGTAGATTGAGTAGATATAGGAATGGTGTCAAGATCAGGTTCACATGTGATGTAGATGATGGTTTTGCAGCCGTTTTCCATATGATAGCTCTCAGATCATCATGAGCAATGATGGGCCTACTTTGAGAGGACTCCGGAAGTTTGATCCGTGATTTCCAGTTTCTATTAGGCCAGCTGATGGCAACTAGTTGGATTTGTCATGATTGGGTTGTTCGTTTTGAGTGTATGTCGTGTATCCCAGACACTCCTGGACCCTCATATATGGAGGGATTGGTCCCTCATACGGAGGGGTCTGGAGTCTAGGGTCTCAAATCCCTAGGTTTTGAGGGACCAAGGAGCGTTTGCGATATACTATTAACCTTTCTTGGAGCTGGCGAAGCCAATCTCAGTCAGCTTTGTATAAGCCACATGGAAGGACTGAGTCAAGGGATGCTGGGTGTACACTCCCCAAAATCATGATGGAAGTGGATGGCATTGCCTGAAAGGATGACCATTTTCCAAACTTCAAACAGGTGGGGAACTCCACTTCCATGAGTCTTTCAGGGAGCTCGCATTGGGTGTTCCAACCCCGAGCTATTCCGATTCTTCCTCCCGGTCCAGCCTCCCACAGCCTCGCCCACGCGGAAGACACGGCGCCAGGCTGGCATGACAAAGACACCAGCGACCGACCCCGACTCGTCGGAAAAAATGAAGCGAAGCATGGAACGGAAGTTCTTTACTGTAACCATCCATATGGGAATGGAATATGTTACATTGACCCTTCGAAGATCTTGAAACATATTCCAAAATGCAACATATTTGGGTGGTTTTAGAGATCCTCAAATACTTTAAAACCACCCAAATCTAAGTCTCGTGGATTGTTTTGGGATTCGGATGAACAGACGTCGACAGACACGTGGGTGAGATGAGTGAGGATGAGGAAGAAGTAGCACAGCGAAGTCTGTGGAGCACCTGCAATGTAGCGCACTTGCTGTTCCACCGTGAGGTATTAATGTGGGCAAATCTATAGATTCCATTGTGTTCTAGCTCTCCAGGTTGGGGTTGAGTAGGCAGATGACTTATTTGGTTAGATGCTGTAGCATGAGATGTTACTGTGTATGATATTCATGCATATATAATTATAATATGTTGATATAACTTCATATATATAGACACATAAGTTAGCAACTCACTTATACCAGGACCCTGTCGGGGTGTCTATTGATAGCCCCAAAAAGCTGTGAAGAAGGGGTGTCCATTAACCACCCAACTCCTGGGGCTGGCCAGGACATTGGTACGGCTGGCACCGGTGGGTTCCGGCCCGGGTGACTCAAGTGATCGGAATGTCCCTTTCGTTGGCAGAAAACCAAATGGATCCCCAGGTGGATGGATTGTGTACATGCAGGAATCAGACCCGTTTTCGCACATCCACACAAGGACTGACTTGGTACTTGTAGGGAATCAGGAATCAAAAGGTGCTTGGATCCGTAGTCCTTAGAGGGGTTAGCTGGCCTCAACGAACCCCGAAACCGGGGGTCCGACGACCCGAACCGGGTCAAACCGGTGGATCGGGAAGTTCGGACCCTGTCGGAAGGGTCCATTGGGTAGCTCCGAATCCCCGGTACCGGGCTCCGTTGTCGTAGCGTATCGTTTCGGTTCGGTGGGACTGGGGTGGGTGCCAGGAGGTTAGAGGGTCCAGATCATACCGAACCGGTTTGGAGGTACGACTGGAGCCCTAGGGTATCTGAAAAGTGGATCGCCCTGCACACTTGTTTGTCTTGGGGGCACCCCTGTTAGAATACATTTTCTCCAAGGCCATGGGCTGGTGGAAGAAACATTTGCTCAGCCTAAGGTGCCGATTCTTTATGTATTTTCATGTGAAGGAACGACGCTCCAGCGTACTTCCCAACGGTTTGGCATGACTTTTGAACGCAGCGTTAAGTCTACAAGCAGGTCAGAGCTCACAGGAGGTTTTTCTATGACACTTGGAACGTCTTGGCAATTTGCATGAAGAAAAA